TTAAACCTTATTTCCCAACCAGTGGACATGATTGTTGGTGTTATACAGTGGGTTTATGCTTGTGTGCAACAGGCCAGAATGTTGACACAAGACCTGTTAAGGGAGCTTAGTGCCACTGTAGCCAGTCTACCCATGGCACAATTCCCAACCCACTTGATTCCACTCTTCTCAGTAGAGGAGTGTGTGACATTAACAACCCCATCGCTCATAGCTCACCCAGAAGGCAATCCAAGATTGAATTTGGTTCCAAATCTTGAGATAGGTATGGTTACCAAAGCTATCCATTGGCTGTGTCTAAACGATCCACCAATGAAGGGTGTACAGCTACTAACGAGCAGAGGGAGGTTAATAAACCCCATGAAGAGCAGGTGGGAAGTAAATGTCTGGTCAGCACATCACATTTAACTGTCACCATGTCATTTGTTACAGGCATGATACAGGTACCGCAATGCAGCTACCTAACCAATCAGTTTTCCCGTAAGTTCCTGAGGAGGCCATAGTGCAGCTTGGTGACTTAACACTGTACTGTCTGGAACCAGACAATATAAGACCAAACTTGAGGTCGTGGATGCCTTTAAGTGCCACACTATTGAATTGGATAGAAATCCAAGAAACAGTAAGCCCTGAAGGGGTACAGGTAATTAGTTTGCTTTAATGGAACAAACCTCCAAACCACCCTGGCAGGTGCCCAACACAGATGTTGTGGTTCATCAGGGGGGCTGGGAACAGGAACCGGTGTTATTGTAACATTGCTGCTGGGTAGCTGGATCATGACTGACAGTGCACTCTGAATGCTGTACTCTTACATCAAGATGTACTCTGGGTAGCACGAATGAGTCAAAGGTAGGATGTCAAAAGAAAGGAAGTTACTTCTTCCCAAATATCTGCCTACTACAGAGGTATCAGATATTGACAGTGAACTTCCTGATGTGTAATTCCTAGACTGAGATGATGTCTTCTACCTTGTTTATACATACTCCGGATGTTATTCATCATGTTTGTTCCTGTATGAATTCTCGAGGAGTAATGTGGACATTTAAGGTTAATGTTCTAATGACAAGGGACATCACTTAACTCTGTTTTGGTTTGAAGGCAACAACGTCTCAGGACCTCGTGACCTTCAAAAAAGGGGGATATGTAGCAGCAAGGCTTATTAAAATACAGGAATTAAGTTTTCTGCTCCCTTGCCAGAGAGGCCCCATTTCTCTCTTCATCTCTGTGGTGCAGCCACAGAGAAGCTATTCATGCAGGCTGATTTAAAGATGTTTTCTTTTGATAAGGGACAGCTCCCAAATGGGGATGCAATTAGCTAAGCCTGGCTATCATGATCAATGGTCATCCATTGGCGCCTAAAAGTCTGCAAGATTCCAAGGGAGAGCCTCATCCAAATGGTTTACAACCCCAAGGTCAGAGGGCATGGTTACTCATCATCAGCCAATCAGGAACTGGTAGGGCCGAGTAACCCACGTGGGTCTCTGATGCCCAAGAAACTTTCAGCCGATGAACGAGCTGAAGTTCCTCCGGGTAAAAACAGGCAACACAGAGCTCCCAGAGAACTATTCCAAAAAGAAGAATTCCAGGGGTGAGAGACAATTCCAGGACAGGACGTCCCGCAGGCCAGAACAGTTGGGAAGCGCAGGATATTCTTGCAGCGCGCCTCCTGGCCATCACGAGACTCAGCCCGGACCAACATGTAACGGCCAGTGTGTCCAAATGCCAGAACTTTCCTGAGTCGAGAGTGGAGGTTGCCATGAGTAACCAAAGGATCCATACGAGGTTAGCATCAGCATCAAGCCTCGTGAACAGGTTGGAACTGTGGACAGCTGAATCAGTATTAAGAACTAGCACTTATCAGGAACGAACCGGTCCTCTTCCTGACCTGCTGGGACCCACAGTCACTTTTCTCCTGTGCACAACTTTGTTAGTTAAAGCCAACACTAACTAGCCATTCTTCAGAGAGCAGCGCATCGCAGGAACTTCTCTCAAGCCGCACAGCACAGCTTGGCACCGAGCCAGAGAGTGCGGATTGGACAGCAACAAGCCTGCAACTGTTTCTTTGTGCCCGCAGAAGATCTGAATCCCCAAAGATTGGATGAGTATTCACTGCATTACAGATCGAGAATTAAATTGTTATCCCAACCAGTTGATATCAATTTAATTCCTAAGAGTTATGTACTTGTTTTGAGTATCTAATGTAGAAGTGGTAACCAAGTTCAATTACGAAACGGTCTAAATGAATGATATACCGAACGTATGTCCTCTTGGTACAGTATGTGTAACTCTTCGTAACTGAATGAATATATACATTTTGTATTCTGATAACCCTCACGATAAGATCTGTTAGGTTTATGTACATATTTTCTATATTAATAAATGTATTTTAGTGTATTAGTACCTGTGTGTGTGCGTTGTTTGAGTTATACCGCATGGTTGGTTTCTAAGGCCATTAAAAGAATCATTTTGTGACTTACTCCTACAATTAATAATTGTCCCAGTAAATGCCCAAACCCCTACAGAACTGGTGCCTTGTGAGAGCACACTACAATACGATGGATCTCAAAACTCAATACAGAAACATACAAAGGAAGTGAAAACAAATATAAGTGACTTTCACAGATTACTAGTGAGGAGCGACACCTACTGTATTGATATACAGTGCTTTTAGAAAGTCTATACACCCTTTCCAAAGTAACACATTCTATGGCCTTGCAGACTGAAATCAAGACACATTAAATCAGAAGTTATTTTACCTCTATTTACACATTTTAACAGACAACCTCCAAAAGAAAAACCAAATACTCAAACATTTTAAAGTATACACACCCCTTAGTAATGGCAAATTTAAATTATCTGTGGTGTAACCAATTGCTTTCCAAATCACACAACAACCTAAGTACCCTCCACCTGTGTTCAACTATAGTGATTCCGATTATCTTCACAATAAAATATGCTTTTCCTGTAGGTCTCCTCTGCTGGGTTGGGTTTTTCAAAGTATAGAGTCATAGATATAAAAAGATGTGGAAGGAATATAGCACCAGCAAGACTCTGCCTACTCATGATCATGATCCAAACTATATGATCAAGCAAGAAAAAGACTGATCAGAAAGGCCACCAAGAGGACAATGAGTTTGTAAGCCCTACAGGCTTTTATGGCCAAGACTAGGGAAAGTGTGCATGTGACAACAATAGACCAAACACTCAAAAGATCTGGCCTGAATGGCAGGAGGGCAAGAAAGAAGCTATTACTGAAAATACATCAACACAGCATTAAAGTGATTAATTCCCACTACAGTTACACTCTTAAACAATGCAAAGTAACTACCTTGTCTCTTGTTTTCTCCTGTAACACTTCTGTATTATCTTCCCTTTTGATAACATACATTGTCATTGTGTTGTGTTTGACTGTGCCGTAAAACAAATTTCCCCTAGGGGACAATACAATTTGAATTGAAATCTGAGAACATAACACATTTGCAGTTAAAAATGACAGAAGGTCATTTGGTCAAACATAAACCTGTTATAAAAGCAATGCACTATTTGCTGACAGAAGGACTTTGTTATAATCTCAACAGGTGATTTATACACTGGGAATATCAAAACAGTGTTAAAACGAAACGCATGTCTTTTCCAAACCTCACCTCCAGCCAGCCCCTAAGGCTGGACTGCTGTCCCTGTTCACAGTCACACTAGAGTCATTCAATGTCAGTTTCTCCACTGCACTCTTTAGACTGCTGTATTCCGATTGGTCTACTGGATACATCCCTGTAAAGACCAACCTCATATTAAAAGTACGTATTCAGGAGAAATCTTTTTTTTTTTCTCATATACTCGATTACTACATGTTGCCTTTTACTAAACATATACCGAAAATGCATAGCATACTGTACAGGAAATATGACTATGCTCAATAGCTTATTGGGGCTTATTAGAAGAGATATCTTTAAGCACAGTAACTTGTCAAAACTTTTCTCTTGAAAAAAGTTATGAAAGGAAGAAAGAAATTGGTAACATATCTAACTAGGCAGATTATTAAAATTTAATAATCCGAGAAAAGAGACCATTACGGGCCTTCAAAAACGTGGCACATCCAAATCTAGAATGAACAACCTCTACAATAAAATCTCACATAGAAATTAAAATTAAGCCTGTTATATAAAATCCAGATAAAAAACAGTGGACGCAGAGCTTAGCTTTTAGGTCTTGTATACTTCTACTTAAATGTCCTACAATGTAGAGTGAAGAAAACATTAAATTCCAATAGCAAATCAGTAGGTCAGCTAAACATTTTCCTTTTACGTATTTGTATCACAGATAACAGTTAAAGACTAATTTTTATCTGATTAAAGACACAGAGTGTCTCCATACTAATGAAACTGCTTTAGTCTGTTTTCCACTTCATTCTAATATAGTGTTTTTAGTTATAGAAATATAGTTCCGAAACAAAGTCACTTACAATGACAACCCACCAAATTCAATATAATAATATCATTATACATTTTATTGGGATATTACATCTGCAGCATTTTCCTGCATAATCACAACTAAAAATCCTACCACTTAATATAGGATTTTTTTTTTATTTTCTGAATGAGTGCTCTTCAGTTCCCTTAAAAATAATATTGCAATTTTTTTTTTACATAAAATGGATTCATAACCAATTCATTACAGCTTTACATCAATCAAGAATGGGCCGCAGTAGTACTAAGTTTCCATATATCATTGCTTAATGTAATTATAGACGTAACATATACTGATATGATTAATTAGTAGTGGGATTCAAATTGAATTTGAACTGCCAAATACTGTAAATAAATATTGGCATCTACTAAACAAATTGGTATACATATTGTTTTATGAAAAATCACAATATTTCATAATATTTATAAATATATAAAAAAGGTCTTTATTATTACCAGCAAAAACCATTGGCTTAGCAGATCTGAATCCCGGCATGGGCTCAACTGGATGTTTCTGTAAGAAAAGTGTGTCTCCAATCTGCGCCTCCTTAACTTCTTTCATCCCAGCTATGATATACCCCACCTGTCCTGCATACCTGAATAATAATAATAATAATAATAATAAAAAGCATTTTTCTTCGTAGGATTCATTATTTACTTAAAATATTCAGTTTGAAGATGTGTGAAGAAAGAAGTGTTTAAAATTTCAAACAGAACCACAAACTGCATCACAACTGTAAACCACAAATTTATATTTGTGTATGTAGATAAATCTACTGATCAGTACATATTTTCTGTACGTATCCCTTTAAAAATAAAGTATTTCATGTCATCCATCCTCATTACCAGCAACTTAATATTTCTGAATTATTTGAAATTTGTACATTTCACAGGCACCTGTGTGTCTCCTGTTAAGGATCCCTTTCTGTGCTCTGACATCAGCTGTCTTGGACTAAGCTACATAAGCACACAATTGTCTGGGCTGTAGTCAGCCGGGGTATTCACAGAGATGTTTACACCTCACAGATGTCTCTGAGGTTGCTTTGGAAGAAAATGTTCAGAATTCACACCCCTCATGGGTGGAACAAGGTTGGAACAAGAGTCATAAAGGGTAAGCTGAATAAACTATTCAAAGGGTTGAAGATATCATAATATTAAAGCAGTAGGATATCTTTCTACTTTATAGCACAGAATTGACCTTTACTTGTTTCACTGTTGAACGACTATCCAAAATCACAAAGACTTCAAATATCAAAGTAAAAATAGATATTCCTTACAAGCTCTCTGTTGGATGTTCTTCAGGCCTGAGTATTCCAATTTCATTGACGTCATATGTTTTTCCCAAGTGTGCTGAGACTATTCTGTCTCCTTTATGAACCTGTCCTCCAAACAGGGCAATATTGGCAATGACTCCTCTATAATGGTCAAAAGTAGAATCAAATACCAGGGCTTTAAATGGGTCCTCTACATTAACATTTGGCCTTCAAAAGAAAAAAAAAGAGAAGAAAGTTTTCTGATATCTGAACACCAAAATATATACAGGTTAATAAAGGTTTCACATTTTTAATGCAGTAACTATAAAGAAACTGCACAAAGACAGATTTAGTCAATAACACTTTTAGAAAAAATGACTGGGCACACCTAGACATGTAAAATCAAGTATATTCAGTACATCACTGTTCAACTGTTATACAGAGTTGTTATACTCTTTTATACAGAATTGTGCAGAGACTGGGGACAATATTGATGGTTCTTCATCGTTCTTTCTCTGGATTACGGATACATTTACACCTAAGAACAGAAAAATGCCTCCTCTTAAAAATGTATTACATAAATATACAAATTATCCTTTCTAATATAATGAATGCTGTAAAACTGGGGATGATGTGTATGGTTAATAAATCATACAAGATTACATATTCATATTGATACTTTAAATACTTGAGAAGACAGCATTACAAGCTTGCAATAAGTAATATACTGAAGCTTTCACTGTAAAAAGAGGGCATAGGAGGCTGATCTCCCACCTAGGCTTTACTAAGACTGCAGAATATTAGTACAAGTCAGTCATACTTCTGTTACTGCTCGAGAGTTTTGTGAACATAATAGTGTAAATCATAATGATACTTAGAAAAAGTGGTATTGAAGAGATAGTGAACATGGGTTTAAAAAACAAAAAGTTAATGATTTTGAGTTGCTGAATGCACAATTTCATATATACATGAAATGGGTCTTCAATTTTCACATCACTACTACATAAAGAATTAACAAAAAGTTACAAAAAGTGTGGAATTCAGATCAAGGGACACTCAAGCTTTAGAACATATTACAGAAAAAATATTATGTGAAGAATTAATTATACTGTTCTTTCCATATAAGATTCTGTGCAATGTATGGTACTTTAAAATAATATCAGCTCTAACATAAATATATTGAAATACAGTAAAAATGCCTTGTCTGTTAAGGACAATACTCTATTTTAAATTAGAAAACGCGAAAAGTCTTTTAATCAAATCTTACATTTAGCACCACCAGTAAGCCTATCAATTATTCCACTACAGTATGTGGATGCCCTGAAATCGCCAAAAACTTACGGTGGGATTCTCCTGACTACTTCCTGGAGAACTTTATCAACATTAGTTCCCATTTTAGCAGATATCTGAAATCAGAATATGTTGTTTCAGTTAATAGGAATTGATCATTTCTTAAATTCAACCTTTAATACAAAAAGTTAAAAATGTCATGAACTAACATTGGTATCATTTGTCACAAATACAGTTTAGAAGTCAGTTAGAAGTAAACCAGCCTTTTCCTCATATTGTTCAAGTTAGTATGACATAACATTGGGAAACAGGGAACAATGACATGCCATCACCAAAGAACTACAATATTTTCCCTAAAGAGCTGCTTTTTGCACATTATTAAAATCAATAAATGAAATAATACAAATTAGCACTGTAACAAAGAATTAAGTGAAATGATTTGTCAGTCTGTAAAAATGCATAACTTTATTCATTAACATAAGTAGAAAGATCTTAAAATGAAAAGGAAAATTTCAGTATGTCACAAAAAAATAAAAAATCTTAAAAGTAAAACAAAAAAAATAACTGAGTTCAATTAAAGCAAACTTTTATTATTTACCTTTATACATTCTTCTTTTGGAATATCAAATACCTTTTCAATCTGTTTTTCAACCCTTTCAGGGTCTGCATTTTTCAAATCAATCTAAAATAAACATGAGATATGTATGAATTTCTGCAGTAATTATATAACCCATTTATGACATTTTATGTCTTTTAACTCTTAATTTAGATTTAGACTTCATCTAAAAATTGCCATCTATAATTTGAGTGCTAAGAATGAGTAAAAAAAGAAAGAATGTACAATAATTTGTATAAACCCAGTTTGTAATACTTCAAGCTCCAATCTAAAAACATTTTGACTTGTTTATTCAGAGAAGGTCAAAGATTAACATTAGGAAGAAGGCTCTTCATAATTTGAAATCAATAAATGGTTATGTTGGCAAACTGAAATTTGCAGATTAAACTTTTACTGAAATTAGGAGAGGAACCATTTTCTACTGCTAGGCTTCTAAAATACTGTCATATGTATTTACTATTTTAAAATATAAGTGTTTAACGTAACCCTATAAACAAAAAATACTAATGTAAGAGCCCATATAAAAAAGTGAATTTATAACACCTATGAACTTTTTTTTTACCTTGTTTATGACTGGAATAATTGTTAGTTGTGCCTCAAAAGCCAGAAAGAAGTTTGCAATTGTCTGTGCCTGAATTCCCTTAAAAACAACAGGATAAAAAAAGATTTTCACTCAAAATTCATGATCACACATAGATTAAGCATCTCAACTGGGTGAGCTCTTCATCAACAAAAAAATAAGCAATATGAAAATTATAGTTGTTCATAATGAATAAAGCTAGATGTATTTGCAACATGAAAATATAATATCTATTTCTGTCAGATTCTTAGCCTTTCTGACTGTAACAATAATAAATGCAAGAGACTGTAAAGATTTCTGGGACTTGAAGGAACCTTTGCCTGTTATGAGTTAAGGTTGATCTAACTGGCTACCTCTGTGACCTTGTTTGCACTTTATATGGTAACAAACTATCCAATCATAAATGTATGTTTCTGCCTGAAAATTCTACTCATCTTCAAAAATAAAAGCCTGTTTTTGTCCATAGAAAAGTGAGCAAGAGGCTGCAACTCCATCTGTCTTTCTTTCTTTACTGCAATAAATAAATCACCAGCTTGATTTACTAGTTGAGTGGTTTCCTGAAAAGTGACTTTGACTGACTATCTTATTATTGGATTTAAAAGCAATAACTCAAAGAGGGTAATTAATTAATTGAGTAAGTGTATAAACCAACTGATACATTTTAAGTACAACAGGAGAGAAAAGGTAAGAATGTTTTAGAGATTTGTTTCTTATAATTTTATATTTCTTCTATTTTATATTGAATGATAATACAAAGAGAAGGGTGGTACAGTGGTTTGTGTTGCTGCCTCACAGCTGTGTGTCTCTCGGTTCAATTGCTGGTGTGCTATTTGAGTGATGTTTGCGTGTTCTCCTCATGTTAGCTTGAGTTTTCTGCATGTACTCCGGTTTCTGCATGTTTCCGGTTTAATGTAGTTATCAAATTCGCCTAACACGCAAAAGGTGCTTGGTTAAAAAAACAAGCAGGATGGCAAGGTGGTTTTTGTGTATGTGTGCCTAGCGATGTACTGCTGGCCCATCCATGGTGAATCCCACTTTGAAGAAAAGAAGAGCAGAACAAAACACATTTTACCTGATTAGCATCAACTACTAGAAGCACGCCCTGACAAGCAGAAATTGACCTTGAAACCTCATAGCTAAAGTCAACATGGCCCTAAAAGAATGAAAAAAATAATAACAAGTGATTAACATTGGACTATCCAAACAGTAATGAATATATATCTCTGTATGTTTTTTGTAAGTTAAAGGGCATGCTTCTCATACTGTAAAGTTAATGGTTTCAAAATTACTTACATGTTAATACAATACCTAACTCAATAAGATGAAAAAAATAATAAACAGACTTTAGATCTTATTGTTATACGCATGACTGTTATCTATATAATTAACAGTATGATTGCTCACCCTATCACAAAAAGAAACATACATGGCAAAAAAATTGTCAGCAAATGTCTTAGCTTCAGAAATAACAGAGAATAAACTTGATACTACACAGATCTGGTTATTTTTTTTATTTTCTGTCTTATTATTTACTCTTCTGAATTGCAAATCAGATGATTCAGCCATGGGAAGAAGCTTGTATTCTGTTTTATGCAATCATCACATAGTATGATTTGTTTAGAAGCAATAACCTGCATTTATTTCTTCCAAACAAGCCAACACTCTTCTAACTCTCCATAATGACAGACCCCCTCCCATATTTAGCATTATCAATAGTAAGAGACACTTACTGTATAAACGTAAAAGAGCAGCCATTTTCTATTTTTAAAAAAAGGACTCCACATACTTCACTACTACCCAATTTCCTTCTAAAGAACTCTTTCTCCCTTTCACTAACTTCTTGCCCCTTCTCTAGGGTCTCCAGTAATGAACTGGTTCCCAACTTCAGGTACCAAATCACATGGGGTCCTTCCTCCTTTTATCCCCATTCCACCATATGCTTTACCAGGAAGCTCCGTATCAACACTCATTATTTACTCCTGTCCAGATGAAGAACGGAACTCTACATGAATCACCATGTTCTTCCAGTTGTCTTCTAGTCCTTACACCTAATTAAGCTTTCATCTTTAATTAATTAACCTATTACCTAACAATAATCATTTCCTACCCTCTTCAGAGGGGTGAAGAGTTAAAAAACCTTTACTAAACCAAACAATTAGAAGTCTCTTAACACAAGGAAACAACTTTAGCACACCAAAAAGAAAACCTACAATTAATTATCCAGAATAATCTCAATCTGCTATTACAACCACTTTTTACCCCTCAATCACATCCACTTTCAGCCAACCTGACCATAATTACAGACAAATACACATGTCCAGTATTTCCATACAGGACACTAAGCATGTTGGGTTGTTATTTGCCAAACTGATACCTGAAACACCTGTGTGGAAACCCTTTTTCAAAATATTGGTATCCATCTTTTACCCAGATATTTCCACTTTTGTGCTCTCTACCTGTACGATGCAATTAAATTTAAAATATGATTAAATAATTGCTAGGTTTTTAAAAGTGTACCAACAAATTTAGACCAAAAACTTTACATTTATTACTTACCGGTGTATCTATAAGATTGAGTAAATAAGTCTGTCCTTCATGTCTATAAAACAAGGAGGCAGTCTGTGCTTTCACAGTGATTCCTCTCTCGCGCTCCACCTGTAGTTTATCCAGGACTTGCTTATTGCATTCGGTTTTGGAAATCGCTCCTACAAAACAAATGTATTAGTAAATATGAGGAAGCTGCAGATACCAATTTACTGTATGCAAAATTATCTGGATTGGTTATTATACCTCTATTTTCAAACAATGATGTTTCTCAAGACTACTAAGTGTATACAAAAACATACATATACTAATGTTCCAGATGTGTCCAGGCAAACAAATCATAAGTGCCGAATGTAGTGAAGCTTTAGAATGTGCCTTTTAAAAATACCCTTTAAATTATTAAAAGATTAATAATTAATGGTAAGTTTAACTAGAAGAAATGCACTCATGACCACTTATAAGACCATGATAGGAAAAGCATATAGATTTTGTATAAGATTTTGGTATACAAAATCCTGCATAAGTAGGAACCTAATCTAATTTTCCCCACAGTATTTCAATGCTTGCAAGACAAGTCTTTGTATATATGAGGTCTATATGATAACAAAAGCCATGTTACCAGATTTGAATGCGTGTATGTTCCATTTTCTGCAGGATCCAATGGTATAGGTGTATCATATCTATACTGAGACTTCTCATTTTTAACATTATAGGTTATCTGTAATATTACATAGGTATCTAAAATTTACTATTTATAGATATGAACATGCTCTGTACAAAGGTAAAAGCGGTAGAATGTAATACTTCAATCAGCAGTGCAAACAAATGAATCCTGTTTTTATTATTTTTACTTTTTTATTAGTATTCTGCCTACTTTATTTGCACTTTTTTTCTATAATTTTTTAAATCCAGTTAAAAAATGAAAACAGCACGTGGTGTTCGAATACTTGTTCTAATATACAGTTTATTGACTGTACCTGTTAATTCAAGTAGTCTGTCTGCAAGGGTGCTTTTTCCGTGATCGATATGGGCAATAATGCTGAAATTTCTGACGTTTTCCACGGGATATTTCGACATGTCGATATTGACCTACAAGCAAAACACATTTCCTCAAATTAAATTATTTAATAATTTATTGTTAAGAAAAGACTTACTTTATCACTTGATTTAATCCTCTCTTAAATTCAATAGAACCTGTGATTTTAACATAAATCGTATCAGTTACAATGCTACTAATAAGACAACAACGATTTTTTACATAATATCATGTACGTTTTTTTAAGATTTGATGTTCAAATACTACCTTTTCTGACTGAGAACTGAAGTCTTTCGAGCAGTAAATATTGAAAAATGAAACATTTTTCATCCATCGGTGTCTAACGACAGTATATGTGCTGTAGCCTTGTTTTCTTTGTATTACTTTGAAGGTTCTGAAATCCAGGAATTGACGAACAGAAAAAAGTACACATACTTTAAGGTTATTTATAGATATTTGCATATTGCAAAAACTTTTAAACGTAAGCGCACAAATACCACTTCTTGTCAAATCTTTCAAAAAGAGATTTAGGTTTATTTTCAGCCTATCAGGACCAAAATAAAATCAGCTAAAATATTTCTGCACCAGTATTTCATGTCTCCTTGCTAACGAGGGTAGCACGAGAATCAACGGGCGCAGACATTTTGAGGTGAAAGGTTATTCTTGTAAAAAGGTAAACAAACGTATATTATTAAAACATTTAATATTTTAAATGGAAACCAAATATTATTTAAGATAAATAACTTATTTGTCACCTTAAAGTGAATAATTGTTCTAAAAAACAACGGGCTACAGGAACACCATGCATCATGGGAAATATAGTTTTATCTCGCAACGACCAAAAAAGGCAACTGTAATTAATATCTTTATCTTGGTAAGCTACCAAGACGTTATAGACTCATTTGTATATAAAAAAAACTTAATAATCAAACTTCGAAAAAAAAGAAATAAGGCTTGCTTTGCGCTATTGCAAATTAACAGCAAGCTCAACTGTAAACTGAAATACATACAGCATATAGGCAAACACCTCTCTTTTTTGGAGTCTAAGTCAAGTCTCAAATCTCAAAGTGTAAGTATCTTGAATACTGTTGTAATCTAATAATAATCAGAAGCTTAATTCAGTAATTAACAGAAGTTGTTCAGATTATCAAAATGGTTTTTAATTAAACAATTTTTAAACTGCTTCACAGATTTTAGTTTTTCTACTTTAGGTAGAACGAAGTAGTACTCTTTAGTCAGAACGACCAAGTCAGAAATGTTTTACAAAATACTTAAAGTACTATACTTAAAATACTTAAATGCTGTTTAATCATTGTTTTTAGTCAATAAATCTAAATGCAATCAGATTTTAGGCATTAAAAAATAATACTTGCATGCACTCTACTGCAAGGGACATATTGTCACAGAGTGAAAAGAATAAGTATTGGGCACCAAGTGTGGAGGGCTGTATGGATGTTAACTAAAATGATATGCCTATAATACACTTGTGTTGATGCAGTTTCAACACAGCATAGTGACGGGGATACTATAGTGTAAAAAGTCCCCATCCTTCGGATGAGATGTAAACCTGAGGTCTTGACTCTGTGCAGTCATTAAAAATCCAAGGGCATTTCTCATAGGGGTGTTACCCCGGCATCCTGGCCAAATTTCCCCTTGACCTTTTCCATTCATGGCCTCCTAATAATTTCCATCTATGAATTGGGATCCAGTGTTCTCCTCCCCACTCATAGTTGATGTGTGGTTTGTGTACTGGCACACTATGGCTGCTGTTACATCATACAGGTGGATGCTGCACATTGGTGGTGGAGAGGAGTCCTCATTACCTGTAAAGTGCTTTGAGTGGAGTGTCCAGAAAATCCCTATATATTTTAGAAATTATTATTAACAATGCATCATCACGCCTTTGTCCTTGGAAGCCTATGTTTAGAATGCCTAAAAAGCCTTAGCTCAGACATAACAAAAGAAAATCCTCTTTGGAGAAAGTAAAGTTAGTGGAAGAAACTGCAGCAATTGGACCTGGGAAGACTCGCCCAGGACACCAGGGACTGGGAGCAACAGAGAAAGAGCACTCCCCTCTACCAAAACTGGAATCTGTGACAATCAGGGTAGTAGGTGGAAAACACCAGGGACACATTGTTCAGTACACAACTGCTGGACCTCATACTTTTGGACAACTCTATGAGTAAGCCTCGTCTTGTAATCTGTGTATTATGTCTTAAGAAGCCTGTGATACAGGGAATTCTCCTTTGTAAAAGGAAGACTGCTTAAATAAATGGGATGATGCATATAATAACTGTCTGTTCTGTGGATGCACTGATGATTCTGGGAGATGAAGAGAACCTGTGGCAAGTATAAAAAAAATAAAATTGGACATCATTTTAACATTTTGGTGAGTGCAGCGCTTCTGTAAGGTAGCATTATAAGACCCCCAAAGCTAAACACCCTTGCAGGTGGTACACTTGTTGCAGGAATGCCAAGCACCTTTTAAATAACCAAGGGAAAGTTGAAATAACTGAGGGAAAACCTGGTGCTGTAGCCAAAACTCTAACCATCCATTAGATCCATCTAGACCATTATCATCACAAAACTGAAGCTATTTTAGAAGTTTTGCTCGAATATAAAGCTTTGCATAACCTTTGCTTCCCTTTCATTGAACTATGCTGCAAACAGATTTTTGACCTTCTGAGCTAGTTGCTCATCTTCATCCTAATTAATGTTGCTGTTCTTCTGAAGATTGGGCTTCATCCCATCAAATTCTTCAATTCACACGTCTCTGTCCCATCCCACATTCCCAAGCGCACCGTGTTTAACAAACACTCACGCCGCAAATAATACACCTATCACCATTACTCCCATCACTATATACTAGTTCCCCTCTTTCCTGAAGAGTTAGTTATAACTATAGATGTACAGTATTTTTGGAACATAATTTCAAGTACATATTTACACCTGATTCACCATTATTTTACAACTCTGGTACTAATTATTCTAATATTGTAATACTGAACCTTTTCTTTGCATCATTTAATGGAGGCATGGGACAGAGGTGAAGTTAACTATTTTCTCTTTTAATGGCTCACACTTAACTACAGTTGGCAATTCTAACACTTAAAAACTAAAAAAATGAACCTTTGCACTTATGTACCTACAAGCATAAACAAGCATACAGCATAAACACTGCAATAAAGTGTTTAAACTGCAAGTGCTACAAAGGCTCAAAGTTTGATATTCACTAGATTTTTATTTTTTGGAATAAATACCAAAAAATAATAAATATTTTAACAGAACCACCTAGAGATGTCTTACATATTGCATTTTGATTAGAGTGGTTTGTAATTTTTTTTTACAACCTTTACTTTAGAATTTATATGCCTATCAAACACATTAGGAGGAAAACACACAGTCATTGATCCAGTAGTGTTTTTAAGATCACAATCTGTGAAAAATTTCACAACTTTTATTTAAACAATATCACCTAATTGCATTTTTAGAAACCTTACTTTTTGTGTATGAACAATTACAGATGGACTAGAATATGGTGGAACAGCCATGTACATGAGTTCAAACTGAGAGAATTACTGTTCAATAGATACTGTTTCAAATAGGGTTACGGACATAGTGAAAATCAGTAATGACCAAGCGGATTAATCAATAATTAATATAAATAATCATAATCCCAATTTGTAAATCATTTTGCCAGGAATGTACCTGGATGGTTGTCATAATTGGAGGCTCTGAGTTCTTTGTTCTCTGGTACAGTTTTGGTGAAAAGAGTAATATGTCCAGCACACTGGGTTAAACAAATATGTATTACTAATGACAAGACTAATAATAATTCACTAAACATCATGCAACATAAACATACAACACACAAGCTGGGCTATGTACACACTTATAAATAAGGCATTCCAGAGGCCTATGTGCTGACCATTTACAAAAACCTTAGAGTCCTATCAAGTACTCAACTCTTATGTAACACCTAGAAAAGCCAAAATAAGGTAAAGCTGGATTCTAAATAACATGATATGACATACAGTTAATTTTTTCTTTTTGTAAAGCCAGAGAGTAAACCCAATTCTCAACATAGGGAGATAGGTTCCCATTCATTTTGCTGTGTAGGTTCCCATATACTACAAAATGATTGGGAACCTATCTGCCTATTCTGAGAATTCACTAAACAGGAGAGGCCATTTGGAATGGAGGGATTCTTTATACAGGAAATTAGAGTTTTAGAATGGTAAGCTGTCTTAACAAGTCTCAAATATTTGACTCAAATTTTCTCTTGCTTTCTCTTTCAACCTGCCCCTTTTATGCTGTGTTCCTGGACACCCAATCATTAACCTAGACCTTATTAAGGTAAACTATTCAATTGATCAACGTACTGTATCTCACATCCAGCACAACTAAGTAAACATGATAGCTCTTTCCTTTTGAAGCTCTGAGAAATTCAAATGTGTACCATAGCCAGGTGTTAACCATTATATCTAAATTCTTAAAGACACTTCAATAGTCACTTACAATAGTTGTAACTTCTGCTTATTACCATATAAAGCAACAGTATGTATCTTTTTGCGAGTACTAGGTTAAAACTTTCTTTAATTTCTGAAACTAATTTTTTATTCTCAGATAAGGATCAATGAAAATGTTACAGTATACTTTTGACAAGACAAATTATATTCTTTACTAAAGACTGTAGTTTTTTAACTAGACTGCCCATGATGTTCAAACCTAGAGTTTTTTTGCAAAGTACACGATGAATGTACCCTTTGACTGTTCATAACTTTGTTTTGATTTGTAAAACTTTCATTTTTATGATTTTTGAATATGACACTATTAGACATACAATATTTTGGGATGAGGGAGGCTCTTCCACATCCAATAGCTTTCTCACCATACCACCCAAGATGCTCATACCAAGTGTTTTACACGTGCACAATATTCCTGACCTTTTACATCATGCAGTACTCTGGGATGGGGAATCCTATTCAATAGCTTTTTCAACTCAGCACCTGTGATGTACAAAGCAAGTGATTTATAGAATACACAGTACCCCTGATCTTTCACAACTTAGCTTTCATTTGTGATACTTTTCTTTCATTTTTTTAGAATCTTTGAATATGACACTCTTAGTCATGCAGTATTCTGGGATATGGGGAGTCTATTCCACAGTCATTCAATTTTTTCACCACAGCACCCAAGATGTTCAAACCAAGTGTTTTACAGAAAACATAGTACCTCTGAACCTTTACAGTCATTCTTTGATTTTTGAAATGTTTAATTCAATTCAATTAATTCAATTTATTAGTATGTGTTTATTTTTTATGTATAGCTTGATCACAGATCACCTTTACAAATATTGAGACACAAGTAAACTGCATGTAGTGTTGTGTGCTGTATTAATATTGTGACTGTGTAAACATCTGGCATGAAGGGGAAAAAAATGAAACAAATCCAAAGAAAACAAAATAAACCACTGGTTGTCCAAGGTTGACCTCCCCTTCAGGCACTAGCTATGTAAGACAGGCAGTAACACACTGAATCTAGACAATAAAGGCTTAATAATATAAGTAAAGCTATTCCATTTTAATGGGAGATTCAAGTACTTATAGCATATGTTTCACAAAA